AGGAGGAGAGGGGAGGAGAGAGAAGGCACGGAATAGCAAAGGCGAACGTTTCGGCCTTTCAACAACACCCTCAAAGGGTCTCTCTCTCTCTCTCTCTCTCTCTCTCTCTCTCTCTCTCTCTCTCTCTCTCTCTCTCTCTCTGATAACACGAAAATCACACAATATCACAGAAGCAATGCAACACACTTCATATGGCCCTCCTGGCTCACACAGGTTTACACAGACTCACCCAGACTCAACCAGACTCACACAGACTGAAACAGAGTCCAGCAGACTTACACAGACTGAAACAGAGTGACACAGACTCACCCTGACTCAAACAGACTAGCACCGACTGACACGGACTCACCCACACTCACCCAGACTCACACTGACTCACACTGACTCACACAGACTCACACTGACAGATACTCACCCAGACTCACACAGACTCACCCTGAATCACCCCGAATCACCCAGAATCACTCTGAATCACCCTGAATCACCCAGACTCACACAAAGTCGCACAGACTGCAGGGACTCGTACGGACTCACAGCGATTCACCCAGACTCACACTGACCCACATGGACTGACACAGACTCACCCAGAGTCACACAGACTCACCCAGGCTCACCCAGACACACACACACATACACGGACTCACACAGAAGCAATGAAACAGACTTGATATGGCCCTCCTGACTCACACAGGTCTGTCACACATACACGGACTGACACAGAAGCAATGCAACACGCTTGATATGGCCCTTCTGACAACACACTTGATATGGCCCTCCTGACACATACACAGACTCACACAGAAGCAATGCAACACACTGACCCACATGGACTCACGAATATCACCTTCACATAAGCAATGCAACACACTTCACACAGACTCAACCAGACTCACACAGACTCAAACAGACTCCAACAGACTCACATAGACTGAAACAGAGTGACACAGACTCACCCAGACTGTTACAGACTAGCACCGACTCACACGGACTCACCCACACTCACCCAGACTGACACAGACTCACACTGACTCACACAGACTGACACAGACTCACACTGACTCACACAGATTCACACATACTCACACAGATTCACCAAGAATCACCTCTTTCCCCTCCTAATTCACACTGACTCACACAGATTCACACTGACTCACACTGACTCACACTGACTCACCCAGAATCACCCAGACTCACACTGACTCACACGGACTCACACGGACTCACCCTGACTCACCCTGACTCACCCAGAATCACCCAGACTCAGACAGACTCACCCAGACTCACACAAACTCAAACAGACTCTGAGAGACTGACACAGACTCACACTGACTCACACGGACTCACACGGACTCACACTGACTCACACTGACTCACCCTGACTCACACAAAATCACCCAGACTCAGACAGACTCACCCAGACTTACACAGATTCACCCAGATTCACCCAGACTCACACAGATTCACACAGACTCACACAGACTCACCCAGACTCACCCAGACTCACCCACACGGACTCAAACTGACCCTGAGAGACTGACACAGACTCTGAGAGACTGACACAGACTCAAACAGACTATGAGAGACTGACACAGACTCACACTGACCCACACGGACTGACCCAGACTTACACAGAGTCAGACGGAATCACACAGACGCAACCAGACTCATCACAGAGTCGCACAGATTGCAGGGACTTGTACGGACTCACACAGACTGATGCAGACTCAAACACAGTGAAGTCGAATATGAAGATCTTCGAAGACTAAAGACGAGTTATCCCTACAGTAGGGTCAACCTTTCAACAGGGTTGGGTACTAGGCGCCGTTTACGAAATGATGGCGAGAGCGTCCATGTTGAAATGGACCGCACTTGCCAACCAGATATTTATTTTCACTTGCATGTATGCGTCTGTGCACACGTGCTCGTGACTCTTGATGCGTCAGGATAATTTTCAGTCACTGTATGTGGCAGTGTTAACTTGCATGAAAACTCACCGATTTTTCTGTCGATAAACAAGTGTGACCATCCATACATCACCGATGTCCACACGGCCAATGAGACGCGTACAAGGGGACAAACATACAAAACGAAAACACAATGTCATTACCACACAGCATTGCCTATTCCCTCCCCCCCCCCAACTCACACACACACACACACCGACTCACCCTCTGAATATGAATTGCATCAATGAAAGGAAAGACGACAGAGACAAACAAGAGAAGCGGCAGACAAGGGTCTGGAAATTTCCGTCATAGTTTGTGGCACGCATGCAGTGGGACACAGTCATGTCAACCAAAGACATGATCTGTGAGAAAATGAAGGTGCAGATATCATTGTTAATGACGGCATTACAAAAATCGTGGATCTATCACCCGAACACATGTTCTCACGCACACAAACACACACACACGCACACACACACACACACACACACACACACACACACACACACACACACCTGTGAAGACAACACAGACCCGTTTTCGTTCATATATATCATTTCTTTTTTTTTTTTGGTGTCGTGCTTTTCACCGGCTTTCCTTTCCTCTTTGATGCCCCCCTCGCCTCCCCTTTCCCCTGCTGTTCGGCAGTCTCGGGCGCTACTTCTTGTCTGTTTGTGTCATCAGCATTCGCCCTCCTCCTCTCCTGTCGTTGTCTGATCAACTCTTTCTCGTCCACGACGCCTTTCGTAAAAACACACCAACGTGGTTTTTGCAATCCGTCAACGAGCCTCATGTCCTTCGTCAAGATCGTCACCCGCTTCGAATGGATTGCAACCTCGTTGGTGCTCTCCATAAGATGAACAAGATAGGTTTCAACTGCCTCCAGAAGTGCTTGAATTGCAAGCATCCCGAACCGCATTGGTTGTGTTGCAACATCTTCTTTCTGCACAACCTCGCGCACAAGCCTCACAAATGGTCTGTAAGGGATGCAAAGCTCTGTGCTGCGTTGCAGTCGGCGCATCTCCGCCACAGCAGCCTCTTCGGGTCGGCGATTGCGCCTCGGCGGGCCTTTCCTCCCATCATTTTTCCCGCCTGTCTCACCATCCATTGCTGCCCCCCCTTGCCCCCTCCCCCTTCCTCTCCCTCTTCCACCAACCATTGCTGCCCCACCCCCCCTTCCCTTACCTCGACCCCCCCTCCCTGCTACCGTCGTTGTCCCCCCGTTGTCGCGTTTGGTTGTCGCCTTCCGCTTCGTTCCTTGGCCCGTCCGCCTGCTACCATCGCTGCACACCGTACCGCTGACTACCGCGCTCTTCTCCACAACAACACGTCCTGCACCCGAGTGTGCAGCCGGTCCGTCAACGTCACATCCCCTGGGAGCGTCTTCGGGTGGTCTGTTTGCGTCGCATGCCGCTTGTCCCCTCTCTTCAAACTAAGGTTCTGTAATCCCCGCATTATAATCGTTCACCTTCATGTCCTACGCTGCTATGTACTCAATGTGCCGCAGCAAACCATCAGAGTATGTCACAAAAAACGGAACACCCAGAGGGTCTCTGAACTCCATGGACAGCTCTGCGCCGCAGGCATAACGCATGGGACAGACAACGGGTACCCATCCAAGAAGTGCAGACCGCCCATGTCTACGGCGAATGACGCTCAGACAGTTATCACGAAAATCCGAACAAGGGTTTGCGCCCACGCCAGCACCCTGCATTGACCACATGCTGTCATCTTCACGACCGTCATATCCACACAACACCATCTGACGGTCCTCGGCATTCAATCTATCCCAACACAGCTTTGCATGTTTGCACAATAACGCTTTGTCATTCACCCTTGCGTTGCATATCGACACACGAGCCAACACAACCATGAAATGCCAATGCTCAACAACACTTGAAGGCATCCAACCCATAGGTACCCACTCGCCTGAACGCAGTCTGCCTGCCATCATAACTTTGTTTTAAAAAATGTCAGGATGAAAGACACCGGGCATCCAATTCACATGATACCCGTACATCTCCCCGGACGAATGTCCGCACAACTCCGTTTGTGGAATAACTGTGTCAGATATGTCAATATCAGGCAGCCTCTCCGACGTTGTCTTGTCCAGGTCCCATATATCAACGAACAGACCATCATAAGTGACCTCCCTTCCTCTTACGTGCCGCAGACAAATGTTGTCCTCCCCCGAAAAAACTTTCCCCTCCACAATTAGCGAAAACACGGGGTTCTGCATTGGGATCAGGAGTTCCCCTGTCGCGGCATCAAACGACTCCGCCATCTCGTACTCAAAAAAACGAGACGAGAACTCGCCATTTATATAAACTGTACTCCAACAGTTCCCAATTAGATCACGGACAATCATCCTTATCTCCCCATATTCACAAGGAATGCTTGACGGCACCCAACCCCACCGCACATCCCGCCTTGCATCATTGTCGTTGCATACTCCATCCCCAACTCGTGTGCTGTCAGATACCACCCATTGTTGGGAGCAGTCCTCACGATCGTAAAAGAAATCATTCAGCCGTAACCCCCCCTTTTCCGTCAGTGCCTCCCAAAGGACATGCGTGCATTTGATCAGACGTCGAAGCGCGACGCCGTCATTCAGCCTTGTCAGTCGATCGAAAATAATGGTTGTTGTGATGTAGCGCCATGTGGCCAATTTAAGCGGAGGATAAGGGACCCATGTATCACCGCTCTTAAAGGCGAGGCAGTTCTTGCCCCCGTTCAAGCCTGGCTGCACCTTGTCGGGCTTCCAGTTGATATCGTAGAGGAATTGTGCTCCTGCTTCATTCTTGGTGATACAGTCACTGCCAACTGTGCACATCGGAGTGTCTTCGTTGCCTGTCCTCTCGCAGTTATCCGCGTCCTCATTTGCAGCCACGGAAATGACACGCAACATTTCCTCTGATTCCATTTGCAACGTCGTTTCTTGGTTGGTATCGTTCCCTACCACCCCTCTCCCAAGACTGCGAACGCACTGCTTGTGAGCGCCGTCTGTTGCTATGACGTTCGATATATCTTGATACAGGTCTTCGGTCGTGCATGCAATAGTGTCGACCGCCATGTTCGTTGACACATTTGACTTCTCCATCTATAACACGAGACATGACAGACATGTTAGAGAACATGTGACGACCGACACATTATTCATATGGGAGAGAGAGAGAGAGAGAGAGAGAGAGAGAGAGAGAGAGAGAGAGAGAGAGAGA